TTACATTTTCCCTCATCATCAGCTTCTTCTTGGGTTGCTCAAAGACCTCACCTTATCTTCTTTGGCATGTCAACTGAAAGCAGATACTCTTTATTTTACTCATTATACCTTCACACAAAAATGCTTCTCTCTGGGTTTCTATTTCCTAGGATCATGTGTAATGCATAATGCAATGCCTCCTTACTTTCCTGCTTATCTTTCCGAAAATCTGATAGCCTTTCAGTTCCATTATATTCTAGGTCAACTCTTCCTCTTTATTTCTAACGTATCTTATGCTCATTGGGTTATCAAAACATTTCAGGTGTTTATGGCTGTAAGGTCAGGGCCATACTTTGCGTAATCAGAAGTTTGGAGCTGGAAATCAATATGTACTTTGATTTCCAGAGTCAGCACTGGACAAAACTACAAAACAGGTCAAAGTTGGGCCTTTCCTGGTGTCACATTGAGTTAAAGCCCAGCATTATGAAGCTAGCTGCAGCTGCTTCAGCAGGAGTTCGATCCCAGGCCAGGGAGGTGACACACAGGGTGCAGCAGACCTCCCCTGTCTCCCTGCTGCTCCCTAGATCAGTAGATCTGCCTGTTCTGCTTCCCACTCTGTCTCTGCTGAATCTTCTCACACCCCACACCTCTGGCCTACACCCCAGTTCTTTTTTTTTTTTTTAAAGATTTATTTATTTATTCGTACAGAACTGGGGTACAGGCCAGAGATGCGGAGGGTGAGAGGATTCACCAGAGACAGAGCGGGAAGCAGAACAGGCAGATCAACGAAGTACACTGCTGAGGGGAGCAGCGGGCGGGTCAGGAGAGGTCTGCCTCGCCATGTGGTCACCTCCGGGGCAGGCGGGGATCGAACTCATGCGGAAGTGGCTTTAGTTTCTCAGTGCAGTGCTTTAACCCGCTGGGCCACCAGGGAGGGCCCAACCCCAGTTCTTTTAAGAAAAAAAAAAACAAAAACCCAAAACAAAAAAAAAATAAACTCCACACTACTTCCCTCGGTTCACACAGAACATCAACATAACTTTGTCAAATTTATTTAGGCCCAGAAAGTCCTCCCCCACCCAAGAATAATTACATTTCTAATGTCAATGGTGCACTGTTCCTAGCTATGTAAACTAAATTCAAACTGTGATGGCTGCAACATTTGTTGTAGATTAAAATCTCTATGACTGCTTCTTAGTTGGAATCCTCACCTTTTTTTTTTTTTTTATCTAATAACCCCTATCATGAGACTTTTATTCCAGTTAACAGCTCCACTTTCCTCAAGTACCTAGTTCAACATCCTTAATTTTCACCCCTGACTTGTCAACATAACTTCTTGCCATCCTAAAATCTCCTGGTATTGAACTTGCTCTGTTCCCACAAGAGGCAACTTTTAGCATCTAAAGCGTCTCATTCTCCAGAAATGTTCTTGGACGACCAAACTAGACTCACCATTTATTGGGAAGGCCTCAACTAGCCTAGCCGTGCCAGCCAAGGCCAGGACTTCCAGCTAGGATGGGGCAGACACTCCAGGCAGAGATCCAACCAACCCCCCCATCACTCCGACCACCCCCTGGAACTTGCTGCAAGGCGCCCGCGCCGCATCACCTGCCCGCAGCGTAATCTCCCAGCGGGCGGAAGCGTCCGGTCACGTGACTCTCTCAAGCCAATGCCTGACGTTTGCGTTTTGGAGTCCTGGTTGCTAGGCGACCCCAGTCTAGCCCAGTTTCTGCTCTTTGGATTTCTCCTGAAATGTAACTTCAGCTGTGGCTCCGGCTCCTGGACGTGCGGATGTCTCCGAGGCCTCACAGCGACGGTCGCCTTCTCTCTAACTGAAGCTTCATCCCTCTGCGCCCTTGGGCTTAAACCCGGGCGTCTCGGCCTCGGGTTCCTGCAGGGGTGAGCACGCTGGGCGTAGCTTTCTGCAGCTTCCTTGTGGTTTATTTTGTCAAGGCTTCTTCTTACTTTGGCCAGAGATGGGAAACGGGCAGTAGAAACTGTATTATGCTTCTGGTCTGAAACGGTTCACGAACGGCTGTCTGAAGGATAACAGATTTCAATGAAAATGAATAAATAAAAGGATATTCCCAGAAATATCCCAAAAAAGAGTCAACTACTTTATACAAAGTTTATATAATTGACATTTTTAAAGTAAAATGGCGCAGTATTTGGTATTCCTAGTAAGGGTGGCAATCTTTTTGCTGTTCAGCCTTTTCACTTCAGAAGACCTTGCCTGTGCCTGGATTTTGTATTAACTTACCGATTTTTTTTTAGGTTTGACTTTCATGGGTCCCTAACTTGTATTTGGAATGGGTTTCCCTTAGTCTGTGCTAGTCATCAACTTGTGAAATAAAGTGATCAGATCTTGTTACTGCTTGTTTTCATGCCTAAGGACACAGGACCAGGTAAACATTAGTGCTTCTGAAGATACATTGTGTAAATGCACGTTATTAATTTTTTTGACTTAAATTATTTATACATGTAAAAACTGGGGTGTAGGCCAGAGGTGTGGTGGGGGGGGCGGTGAGAGGGGGTGAGTGGATTCACTTCCACAGTGGAAGTGCAAATGTCACACCCATCTGAGGCCCTTTTACCGCTTAGAACATTGGCTATTGAGGCCAATGTTAGGTTGTATGCTACTGAACTCACATCTGATTTACTCCAGAAGACAGCTATTGTCTTGTCTTTATATCTTACAAATTTGACCAAAAGCCTGGCCCCTGGCTGACACTGAGGAAATGCTGGGGTTGCTGAATAAACTATTTTGAGCAACCAGCTGTTGATCTGTTTATGGTGTTTTCTTTCAACATTTGTTGATGGACTATTGTGATTTTCTTCTTGCCTGTCAGCAGCAGATGAAAGTCAGGCAAAATGGAAAATGCTGGAACTATTCATGATGCTAATTACCCACACAGAATACACCCTTGAAAAAGCTTATTTATAGACATAAGGGACTTTTTGGTGGTGGTGGAAATATTCTAAAGCTTGGGTTGGTAATGCTTGCACAAGTTTGCCAAGGAAAAAAATCAATGAGTTATACAATAAAAAATAGGTGAATTTTGTGGCACGCAAAATACACCTAAATAAGGCTTTTAATGGAGGGTGGGGTGGGTGGGGAGTTCACTTCCTAATGTTTGCCAAGGAATTTAAGGTAAAAGAGAAGTTGAGCAAGGGTGGTTAAGACACAGCACCATGAAGCTCTCAGAAGCCACTGCAGCATGAGTTCATTCCCCAGCCAGGGAGTTAACCTACTTGGTGTAGCAGACCTCTCCTGTGTTGCCCGCTGCTCCCCTCAGCACCCAGAGGTATGGAGGGTGAGAGGATTCATCAGAGAAAGAATGGGAAACAGAGAACAGATAGATCAGCTGAAATATACCTCTGAGGGGAATAGCAGGTGAGACAGGAGAAGTTTGCTGGGTCAAGAGGGTCAGCTCCCTGGCTGGTGATGGAACTCATGCTGCAATGACTGCTGATAGCTTCATAGTTCTGAGACTTAACCCCTGCACAACCAGGGAAGCCCCTAAAAAAATAAGTCTTAAAAAAAAAAAAAA